GTGATTTCCTGAATTTTTTTTTTTAATTCTGTCTCTCAGAGTGGGAATGCACCTACAATGTGAATTTCAGACCCCTCCATGATTTCTAAGTGGGAGAACTTGCAAAATCGCAGGGTGTTCAAATACCTCTGTTCCTCACTGTATAAGACAGTTCATATGAGCTCCAGCTTTAGCAGCTGCATCAATAAATGTGATGTACACAACAATGCATCAGTAATTATGTATAACTATAATTTAGGAATATGCTATACATTATATTACATATTCATTTTACATTAGTACTTGTAGTACTTTAAGTATCTTTGATGCTAATACTTTTGTGCTTTTACTAAAGTAACATTTTGAATGCAGGGTTTATACAGTGCTGTATTGGTACTTGTACTTAAGTAAAAGTACTTCTTTCACCACTAATAAATACTAAAATGTAAATGTTTTAATCATTCTGTAGGACCTTTCTGCTGCTCAGTGCTCTATGTGTTCATTACTGTTATTGTCTTTGTTTCTGCATACTTGTACCTGTGTACAGTGTATACATAGTCTAAAGCATGTTTCACTAGCCAGGGCCCGCCCTCAGTGTAAAGAAAATGGAGCTCGGTTATGAGCTGAGATTTGGAGGAGAGAGGCTTCAGGGATCGACAGTGCTCTCAGGCACTGGCAGACCCGCTGCATGAAAAGGGAGAGAGAGGATAGAAAGATGCAGAAAAAAGGGGAGGGAGGGTGGGTTACGAAAAGCAAAAGTGGAAGCGAGTCTTTCTTGGTGGTTTAAATATAACTGTGAGAGGAAGGGGTGTGAGTGTCGGGCGTGCCCTGCTCCAAAACTTCAGATTGAAAATGTCCAATTCACTAGCTAGGGCCCACCCTCAGTGTATGAAAGGGAAAATAGTGCTTGGTGTAGACGTAGTTATGAACTGTGGTTTTCGGGGAGAAAGGCTTCAGAGATCTAAGCTGCTCTCAGGCAAAAAGAGCTAATGGGATGTGTTCGATGCCCTTCAGGTTGAATCTGATGTAGGGTTGAAAGGCATGGAAAGTATGACGACTCGTGGTCTTAATGTGATGATCGGGGATGCCCTTATTTTAGGGGGATGAAGCTGCTCGCATTCTGACTGAATGTTCAGAGTAGAGGTCGGGGCGAGATGCTGTAAAGGGATAGATGGTCTTGATGAGGTGAAGGAACCAGAACCTAGTGGAAACTTGTCCAGAGTCTGGTTTGAAGAGGAGGCCAGTCAGGGAGGTGTATTGGGCGAGCACAATTTGACGTTTCCATTCTTGACCCCATGATCTTGTGGTGGCTTTGAAAGAATGGATTCGAATGTAGAGGTTTAAGGAATTGCCAGAGTTGAAACAGTTATGAGTCCAAGAACCGTTTTGAGCCCTGTGCCCCCAAAACCCACTGGAGGTGGCGCTGGTGACGGGTTTAACAACATGACGAGCGTGGTGGAAACTGAGCCAGAGGATATGATCAGGGAGACTAGGGGGAAGTTGTCTAGAAGGTGGACAAGGTGCTGAATCCTATAATCATTCTACAGAATGCAGCATGAGTCTTTGGTGACAGTGGCAAATGGGTTTGTGCTGCTGTATAATTGAACTCAGTCTGACTGCAAAACATAACGAATGATGGCAGGGTACACTGAATAGGTGCCAAAAATCTGGATGGATTTTCAGTTGTGTCAATATGACAGTTTGCTACTGCAACAACCCAGACTGAATGTAATGTATTTATGAATATGTGCACATTCTGCTAAATGTTGCCATTTTTCTTTTTTTTTATCATGTACTATTTATAAAGCCTGACCTTAAAACTGGTTAGTGTACCAGAAAATATAACATTCCAACTCTCAAGTCATTGTGTCACCATGTTTATCATTTAATAAGACTAAAGCAAAATTCATTGACTTTATTGGCTACTAAGGGGCAACAGAACAGGCTGTAAACACAGCACTGACGTGTCACTATATAAAGTTAAGATTAACATGCTACCAAATAACTGCCTTTACACGTTGAGTAGAGCCACATTAGCATCGAATTGGAGTTCAGAATCCTTTGTCCTTCTGGCTCTGTGTAGGCCTCATCCAAATTCCAAGAAACACATTTAGCTCTTTGCCAAAAATGTAATCGTACCAGTGGCCAGTCACTGACTTTGTCTGTCTGCTGTTTGGTGGTGAGCATGTAGCAGTGAGTTTATTATTATTATTATACATTTATTTATTTAATGAAAACAGCTGCGTTCTGCCAGAAACAAATTCAGTGAGAGCAGTGAGATTGAACAGAACTGTAAAGGTATGGCCATAAAACCAAAACAACAAATTGAACAATGTCAAAAAGATCAGTAAAGCTGAGGGGGGACTACCAAAACATGTGATCATTCTCTGTAGCTTTCTCCCTGATAGCAGTCCCTGTGATATTCCTCCAATATTTTTTCTGTTGTTGTTATAAAAATACTGATTGGTGCATCTTTAATGATGCTGTTGTTCTCAGTGGTTACTCACCCACTACGGACAAAATTAGCCCAGTATGCCATCAAGGTTCGACAAAGCCTTTCATCCTCCTCGGTAATGTTGCCTGAAGATGGAACAAGAAGAGTTTAGTCACAAAACCGAATACTGGTCCATTAACCATGACCTGATTTCAGTGCTTCTGTGATGTGGCCATAATCTCCCAGCCATTCATTCTTTCCTGTATTCCATCTTGGATATGATGTGGCCATTCCTGATATTCAGTTTATTTTATGCTCAGCCCTGACAAACAGCCATGCGAGGAGGAATTACAGGTGCAAAAAAGATCATCTAATCCCATTTAAGGACTATAAATATATACAGTGCCTTGCGAAAGTATTCGGCCCCCTTGAACTTTGCGACCTTTTGCCACATTTCAGGCTTCAAACATAAAGATATAAAACTGTAATTTTTTGTGAAGAATCAACAACAAGTGGGACACAATCATGAAGTGGAACGAAATTTATTGGATATTTCAAACGTTTTTAACAAATAAAAAACTGAAAAATTGGGCGTGCAAAATTATTCAGCCCCCTTAAGTTAATACTTTGTAGCGCCACCTTTTGCTGCGATTACAGCTGTAAGTCACTTGGGGTATGTCTCTATCAGTTTTGCACATCAAGAGACTGAAATTTTTGCCCATTCCGCCTTGCAAAACAGCTCGAGCTCAGTGAGGTTGGATAGAGAGCGTTTGTGAACAGCAGTTTTCAGTTCTTTCCACAGATTCTCGATTGGATTCAGGTCTGGACTTTGACTTGGCCATTCTAACACCTGGATATGTTTATTTGTGAACCATTCCATTGTAGATTTTGCTTTATGTTTTGGATCATTGTCTTGTTGGAAGACAAATCTCCGTCCCAGTCTCAGGTCTTTTGCAGACTCCATCAGGTTTCCTTCCAAAATGGTCCTGTATTTGGCTCCATCCATCTTCCCATCAATTTGAACCATCTTCCCTGTCCAAAGTGTTGTTTAAAGTTTGCCACAAGCCACCTGGGAGACACACCAAACATGTGGAAGAAGGTGCTCTGGTCAGATGAAACCAAAATCGAACTTTTTGGCAACAATGCAAAACGTTATGTTTGGCGTAAAAGCAACACAGCTCATCACCCTGAACACACTATCCCCACTGTCAAACATGGTGGTGGCAGCATCATGGTTTGGGGCTGCTTTTCTTCAGCAGGGACAGGGAAGATGGTTCAAATTGATGGGAAGATGGATGGAGCCAAATACAGGACCATTCTGGAAGGAAACCTGATGGAGTCTGCAAAAGACCTGAGACTGGGACGGAGATTTGTCTTCCAACAAGACAATGATCCAAAACATAAAGCAAAATCTACAATGGAATGGTTCACAAATAAACATATCCAGGTGTTAGAATGGCCAAGTCAAAGTCCAGACCTGAATCCAATCGAGAATCTGTGGAAAGAACTGAAAACTGCTGTTCACAAATGCTCTCCATCCAACCTCACTGAGCTCGAGCTGTTTTGCAAGGAGGCATGGGCAAAAATTTCAGTCTCTCGATGTGCAAAACTGATAGAGACATACCCCAAGCGATTTACAGCTGTAATCGCAGCAAAAGGTGGCGCTACAACGTATTAACTTAAGGGGGTTGAATAATTTTGCACGCCCAATTTTTCAGTTTTTTATTTGTTAAAAACGTTTGAAATATCCAATAAATTTCGTTCCACTTCATGATTGTGTCCCACTTGTTGTTGATTCTTCACAAAAAATTACAGTTTTATATCTTTATGTTTGAAGCCTGAAATGTGGCAAAAGGTCGCAAAGTTCAAGGGGGCCGAATACTTTCGCAAGGCACTGTATGCAGTATAGTGTATACATACCTATAACTTTTATCTCTCCACTCCAGAAACATCCACTGAACATGAATCCAACATCATCTGCATGATCTGCCTTCACAAAGCTGGGTCTAGTGTGTTTGTGCATCTCATTCTATTCTCAGATTAGAATATTTCAACAGGGCCCAAAAGACCTTAAACACAAGTGTCGACCACCAAAGCAGGTATTATTTTGCTATACTTAGCCTGTTTGTCAGGCACATTTACGCTGGTCTGAATCACCTGGAAGACCTGGAAGTATGAGGTTGGGAGACAATCTCTGCATAAACTTCTCTGTGAAGCTAAAACTCACTGAGAAAGAGAAAATGGACAACTGTGTAACCATCCTCAGTAAATCAAGCAGAGTTCACAGCATTTTGAATAATACTGTCAGATCTCAAACATCACTGCTTGAATGAGGCTTTAGGTCTCATGAGCAACATGCTGACTGAAACTTCAGTAACTGAACAATTCCCTGTGATACTGGCACATCTCAACGACCCAGATTTAATGTTTCAACTGTGCACAAGATGTGTGTCCCTGATTCATGTTTCAATTTTGCACATTTAATCTGTGTTTTATCAATGTGACTGTTGTTAGAAAATAACCCAATTCTTTTGTTGGAAGCATGAGAAGTGAAGACAGGAGAGGACTGTTTAAAATCAACAGAAAGTTTACTGAAAGTCTGGTCACAGTGAAGTCATTACAGCGCTGGGATCAAAGAGACAGAGCTCCCGCAGGAGATCCATTCTTTGAGCCTTGAATTATGTTTTATCTTCTTGGGCTGCTCTGCCCTGGACAGAGGTACTGTACTCAACACTTCGTAATCCTATTGGTCATTTGGCGTGAGTAGGTTAACTCCTGTTAACTCCTGCCTGCTGAAATGTAATCAAAACTAGGTGTGTGTGTGTTGTGATGTGATTTTCCAGGTGGCAACTGAACAATGGGTCATCTGCGCTGCAGACCCCCTGTCTGTGTAATCCTATTACAGGACAAAGCAGGACCTCATGAATACAAACACTATGTCTACACAGAAGTTAAAGTAATCAGTTTCTACTTCAGTATCACTTGAATCTCATCAATACAATTGGAAGATATATATGCAAGGAAAATAAAGTAACTAAAAGACAATGAAGAACTGAAAAGTAACTCAAGGTTATAAAGTAACAAGAGCCTATAAGAATCAAATCTTACACTGTTTCTAAACTTGCTCAAGGTGAAGATGTAAACATGCATCCTGTCTAGCGAGGTTTATTCGAATTCCTCACAGAGAATAATTACATGGGTCTGTTGCTGTAATCATGTTGCCATGATTCTAAGTGTGTTTTTGAGCAAATGTTTTGAAGAAATGTTGCACCATCTCCTGGTGTGAAATAAATAACTATGAATCAAAAAGTGTGTGTCTGTCTTTTGTGAAAAATAAAATGTGTTTAGGTGAAATCAACTTGGTTGGTAAAACAGGAAGTATGTGAGTTTCATTACAAGCATAGGACTATTGATTAGATTTGTGAACTAAACATTTTGAGTTATCTACTTTAACCCATAGAAATATGGAAATTAAAATGTTACCCCTCTGAAGAAATGTGGAGTTAACAAAGAACGTATATTTTAACACCCACCTAATGCATGTTATTGGTGGTGCTTACTTCCCCCAGCTATTTTCAAACGTAACGTAAAAGTCATTTTGCCTGGTCAACCATAGTTGGAAGAGGAGGAATAAGAACACAGATACAGTGCAAAATGTTACTGCATGCCCTGGCTTGTTCCTGCTGGACACCCTGTTGATGCCGCGTAGGCCCACTGGGAGTATTGCTGCCTGAACACAGCGGGTAGTGGACCTCTGACATACCATCTGGCATGTGCTACAGTTTGGGAGAAAGATGGCCACACTCACTGCTGTTGTTGTTGGATCTATGCTTTCTAAAAAGACCGTCTGGATGTCTGTGATCCGCCCACATGCAGAATGCTACAGCCTGGGGGGTAAAGACCCATACAGTCACTGCTGTGTTTTGGACCTGATACCTGTTGGATTTAAATTCACTAGCTGTTGGAATTAACAATAACCGCCACCAGTGCTGTTGACCTACAGGGTGCTGGCGGAAATTGGACTACCGTTGGTTAAAGAAGGAGAGGAGGTAGAAGGATTCGTAGACAGAGAGAGAAGAGGAAAGGCAGGAGTATAGGTCTGAGAATAGGGACTCTTAACGTTGGCACAATGACAGGGAAAGGTAGAGAGCTGGCGGACATGATGGAGAGAAGGAAGGTAGATATACTGTGTGTGCAGGAGACCAGGTGGAAGGGTAGCAAAGTGCATAGCATTGGAGGGGGATACAAACTGTTTTATTATGGTGTGGACAGGAAGAGAAATGGGGTAGGAGTGATCCTGAAGGAGGAGCTCGTGAGGAATGTTTTAGAGGTGAATTACTGATTACTTTGATTAGACACACCTGCCCTGATTTTCTGACACTCTTCAGCTGCATCTCCTTTGTCACTCCTTATTTATACTCGGCTTAACCATCACTCCCTTGCTAGTTCTTTCTCTGTCGTCAGCTCTCCTTTAGTCTAGTGCCTTGCTTATTCTATTTGTTCTACGTATGTTGTATATTCATAGCTTCCTTCTTCGTTTACGGACCATTCCTCTGGATCCTGGCACCCTCAGCTCCACCAGCCACCATCACAGGTCGATGCACAGTCTCCCCTTTAACTGAACTCTCCCATTACCTCCTCAGTCTACCGGATCACCTTCCCGACCAGCCCAGGAGTGATTCCTACCCCTGCAGCCCGGCCCATCATCCCACCACGGACAATAACTACTGCTACTGCTGGTCGACACCCGGTTGTATTCACACCATCACATTGTATATATGTTATTGCACTATTGTAAATAAATCACCACTTGCACCGAAGCCAGCCGCCTGGGTCTGTTAATTTCTCCGCTCGCTCACATTTGTGTCGAGCGTACGTAACACCTACAGGATGCTGGTGGAAATTGGACTACTGTTGTCGAAGAAGGAGAGGAGGTAGAAGGATTCGTAGACAAAGAGAAGAGGAAAGGCAGGAGTATAGGTCTGAGAATAGGGACTCTTAACGTTGGCACAATGACAGGGAAAGGTAGGGAGCTGGTGGACATGATGGAGAGAAGGAAGGTAGATATACTGTGTGTGCAGGAGACCAGGTGGAAGGGTAGCAAAGCGCGTAGCATTGGAGGGGGATACAAAC